ACAGATGTAAAAACCAGAATATCGTCAAAAGGTTCGATATTTTTTTCTTACTTCAAGAGCCTTTCTCTCGTTGAATATTTGCCTTTGAGATAATGAAGACCCAAAATTCAGTGACTCGAGAATATTACAAAAGATCAGTAATGATAATAAAAGATATTTTAAACGACAACATGAGACTTTTCTAAGATTTAATTTCTACCAGCATCTTTATAAAATTTGTCAGCAGAAGGAAGCATGAAGTGCTGAAGAATTATGTGTTCACTGGACTTCAGAAACCGCAGCGAACCAACACCAGCAGTCGCCATGGGACAACAAATCATCACCGTGGAAACTTCCCACTGGACTTGGAGCAATGTGGATTTTGTGCCTATTTGCTCTTCCTCCAGACTCTTAGCTTTCATCTTAGAAAAAGGACTTTAAGCCAATGAGCAAGCATCCAGTTCTTTTTCTTCTTAGCCAAGGTGAGGTGATTCTGACACTGTCTCTGATTTAGGACTGGATTCACACAAGGAATGCACCGTTTGCCACCGTATCCCATGGCTGAGACTCGGGTACAAGGTGGTTCTTGATGATCTGCCTCACTTCGCTCTTTGTGAAGCTCAACCAAATTCTTGAATTGGATTTTGCTCGACAATCATCTCAGGGTTGTATTTGTTGGTGCATTTTTTTCCCCCACAATACTTTTTCCTCCCTTTTAACTTTTTATGGATATGCCAAAATATTACCTAATTTTTTTTATACATTTAATGGTTTCAAGACAGAATCATCAAAATGAGCCTTTACTATGAAATTTCTGGTGTGCACACAATCTTTTTTTTTTTTCCGCTTCACAACTGACTAGAAACTTCAAAAACACATAGTTACATTTTTGACCTGTCGTCGTAATGTTTAGGTTTTAATGTTGTACGAACTAGAACTTTATTACAAACAGGTAAAATACTTTTTAATGTTTAGAACTATAGCATTTTGTTGTATTTGTCTTTTAACGATTTACTTACAAATTGTGTTGGATTGGAAGGTTTACTCACAATCACTTCCTCACTCACTCTTTTCCATTTCAAAAGTCTGAATCCTGAATTTTGAAGCAGCTTAGGCTGAAGTGGGCATGAATATTTTTTTCTATCCTTTACAGTCAGTGGCCACATGTGTTTTTTTTTTTGTTTTTTTGTTCCAGATAAAACAAAGCACTACTGGAGGCCCCCATGTGTCCTTCTGCATGTTTAGGCAGCCTTTGTCTGTCTCGTCTGACCCGCTTGCTTTGTTGGTGTTTTTTGACGTCAACAGTGCTGCGTGTCTTCTACCCTGCAGCCCGCACTCTCTTTTTATTAGTCGCAGACCACGAGTGTCAAACGCGCAGGACTCCGAGGGCGGCTGTCGCATTAAATGCTGAAGCAGACACAACCGTTGCCAGTAATCACAACTTTTGTGCAGAGTTGTATTATGAGTCCTGACTGCTCGCTTTCAATCAAGCACTTTCTGGATTTCTTATTGCCGTTTGCGCGGGACTCCAAGTCACAACAGAACTCTTTCATTGTCTGCAGACGAGATTTTTTTTTTTTTTTTTTTTGCGTACACTAGAATCATATTTGCAGTCAAATTGCAAACACTTTTATGCAAAGCAGCGCATTTGAAATTTCTTGTGTGTTGGCGTAAATCACTCTGCGCGGTGCGTTTTCTGTTCTAATATTCCTTTAATGTCATTTGCCAGTTGCTGCCCCGGAGGCTTCACGCATGATCTATACGTGTTATCTCTCGCTACATCTGTGCAGACTATAAATTTGATTTAAAAAAAAAAAAAAAAAAGTTCTTCAGGAGCTTTACAATGAAATCCAATGAGAGATCGACGACGCTAAGAACAAAGTGCCGAAGCAGTCGGAGTCTGTTGAAAGGCTGAGCGCCTATTTATTCCGGTGAATTTGAACTATTTTCCTAAATAATAGAGCGCCCGCTCGGAAAGGCTGTTAAATGTCAGCCGAGGCTGTCGAGTGCAGGTCTCTTCAGGTGCACTTGAAAATAGCCGGAGAGCTAAAGTGGAGAAAGGAGGAAAATGGAACAAGTGAGTTGGAATGTGATTTATTTATCGTGTCCTTCAGAGGAGAGAGGAGGCGAACGGCTGCAGCAAAGTGAGGAGGAACAATGAAGGCGGATTTTTTTCCCCCCCTGCTGAAGTAATCAAATTATACTTCCCAGGTCAGGTCCTTCTGGAGCCTTTTGTCTTCTCCTTCCTTTTACGCAGAGAAATATCTGACCCTCTTCTCACTTGTGAGTGAACCCGAGTTAGATAGGATTGTTTCACTGCTACAGGCCGCCACTGGTTTCACAGTTCAAAGTGTGTTACGATTATCTGTCCTCTGGTCAGAGGAAAACGTGCTCTCGTGATTTGTTTATCCTTCACCCCTCACCTGTGTTACTTTCCAGATCAGACGCCTTATCCAAATATCTGCTTTACCCTTGCTTTAACCTCATTCTTCTAGGATAGTATCTGCTGCATGTTGTCGCCGTCATTGACAGGTGAGCAAACTAATTCTGGAGAACTGGTCTCATGAGCCTCGTGTGTCGCTGTGCCATTCTTGAACGCCCCCACATTGTTTTATTCCTAGCTGGTAGCGATCCAGGCACAGCAAAGGGGGTAAAAGACTAAAAAAAACAAAAAGGAAAGGGAAAGCGGTGAAGCAAATGAAAGAACCAAAAAATAAAAAATAAAAATCCTTTCCTTCTTTGTCAGTAATGGCTTGTTTGGTTTGTAATGTTTCATGCAGCCCAGACTGGTTCCACAGGAAGTGAATGAACCCTGAATCGCAGCAGCAGCTTCCAAAAATGAAAAATGAGAACAAAAGGAACATTGTTTTTGTCATGTTTGGTGGATTTGTTATTTGAGCTTTGGCAGATTGGATCTCTGGACGGAGGCTTTCATTTCACCTGGGACGCAGACTCTGAAACCACTGACACGGTCAGTAAAAACCTTCAGATTTAGTTCAGGTCAAACATATTACAAAACTCCAAAAATGGGAAGCTTGTGAAACAACTACAAACCTACCAAGGTATGGCTGTTCAGCTAAACGGAAAGACCAGGTAAGGAGATAATTAATCAGGAAAAACGGCTCATAAAGTGGCCAGTAGTCACTGGAGGAGCTGCAGAGATCCACAACCCTGACAAGATGGCTATTAGCTGCAGCCTACAGAAATCTAGTGTTTATGGTAGACTGTCCAATAGTCATCCTCATAAGAAAGAAAAAACTAGAGTGTAGAGGTCACTGCAAAGATTTTGAACAAGTTGTTCTGGTCTGTTGAGAACCGAACTGAACTATTTTGCCACCGCTGCATGGAGAAAAACTAACACTGGACATCACCCTGAACACCATGCGTTGTGGGAATACATATCTCCAGGACTAATGGGAAGAAAAATAAAGCAAAATTTATGGGAATGGTGGAAGAAAACCTGGCTGCGAAACATTTGAGTGGCGTGGAAGTTCAATGTCAAGCAGAGGACTTTAGCTCACAGCTTATTAATGTGGCAGACTGTTCCGAAAACAGAGAATCTCAAACGAGAATGGAAAAAACTGAAGCTTACAGCGCCACCATCCAGTCTGGCGAAGCTTTCCTTATTTTATGGTATATATAATGGACAAATGTTTAAGTTTGTAGGTGTGAAAGGCTGGTAGAGAAAAGAGACATGACTTGTTGGTTAGGATATACAGATCACTTTAGATGTAGCTAAGGAAATGGGACAGAAAACAAATGTGTAATATACTTGTGATCTTTATTTTTAAGAATTGAAAACCAAAACTCCACAATCGTTTGCCATTTTGCAATGATCTATCTCGATTGCTTCCAACACTAGTCCTCAAATGCCCCCCATCTTTTAAGTCCTCTCCTTTCTGCCACACACCTGACTTAAATAACCGGGTGATTGACAGGATTAAATAGCGCCAGATGGCTTGCAGAGGAGGTCATGCAATCATTTGGATCAGGTGTGCTGGAACAGAGACACGTCTATAACATGTAGGACAAGGGGGCTGGGAGCCGCTGATGCATCACATAAAATCCCAGTTAAATACAGCCATGTATTTAACTGTGGCAAAAGGAGAACAGGTTTGACGGGTGTGAAGGTTTTTGGAAGACACTATATTTCAAAATTTACCCTGCGAGAAAAACCTTAGAGCAGCTGGTATGCTTCCATAAAGTTTTGGAGGTTATAATACATTATTGATTATGTCACAGAGGCTTTCGTGAAGAGTGAGGAGGGAAGAAAGAGCGCACGTCAGATGAAGCTGTCAATGTGGCCCTCAATCAGTGGATACAAGGCAAGATACCAGGATTAAAGCGGATAGTGGTTACTATTGATCCAATGCGCACACTTTTACTGACTAACGGCTCAATATCGTACTATTACAGCCAAACCTCATCCTTTTATGTGTTCATCCGTTCGAGCTCTGCTCAGGCTATTGATACACCAACAGAGGTTGCGACTACGGCGCTCTCTGCAATCCACGTGTTTTAACTTCAGAACATTTTATTCAAGAGGAGGAAATGAGCACAACGACACAAGGACCTTTCTGTACATTTTATTTACAAAAATGTATTAAAATTCTTTGTACAGCGCCTCCTTCGACGAGGTTCAGCAATTTACGCATGCATCTTTTGTAACCACTACGACGCTTGGTGATTTCATTTGTTTGTTTTTTTTTTAGGGTTATTTCTGCAGGAGGTGACACCTACTAAAAAACAAAACAAATTCAAACAAGTGTAAAAAAAAAAAAAAGAAAAAAAAAAGAATTACCAGGACTTTATTTCTAGCATTAAACCTAGGATCAGTTTGTCAGTAGCAGGGCTCATCAAGCATCACTGATTTTCACATGCAGTTCTTTAGAAAAAAAAATATTAATGTAAGAAGGGAAAACCCAATCTGTCATAAAGTTAATATAAGTAATTCTCATTTGTCTAAATTTACACATCTCTCCTGCTTACTCTTTATTTGTCTTCACATTGTCTCTTTTTTTAATATAAAACTATCTGCCCATAGCTTTAGGTAATTAGATAAATATCCTCCTAAATCCTATGGAATCACAGTCTTTATGAAAGAACACAATTGATTACAGCAGTATGGAAATGTGCTAAGCTCCAGGCGATGCCCCAGTTATAAAAAGTCTATTTTTTGTTGTTGTATTTATATATTTTTCATTTACTAAGTAAAATCACTAAACACTTTAATTTTCATGGAAGAAAATCATTTTTGAAAGCAAACTACAGCTCATTGTAAAATGTGCAATTTGACAAACAAAATACAGAAAAAAAAAATACTGCGAGCCTTTAATCGGACTACAGTTAATCCACAACTGAAGTACCCATGTGTTTGGTTTTACTCTGATGTAAAGAAGACGTGAATTAATCTAGGTTTCAGGAAAAGACTTTTCAGAGCATCAAAACCTCCTCGATATTTTACAAATCCGTATATATTTCTTTAGCCAGACTACATAATCATTGTCATACAAAACACACTCTTGGCAGTATTGGAAGTGGGAATCGGGTCCTGCTTCATGTCGTCCTCTTCCGATATCTTCCGGAGTCCCGTCAGACTTTCCCGAAGACGACGTTGGCAGCAGCACCAGAGTTCTGAGTACAAACGACACGCATCTTTGTTTCGAGCTTGACAAGCAACGGGTCTTTCCTCTTCAAGTTCACGGTCATTCGAAGGGATTCACAGCAGCATAAAAAGCTATTATCTAAGAACCAGTGTCCTACGGTGCACTGAGTAGATCTAGTCAAATAAATTCAGCACATTGAACCAGTGGAAATCTGGCAGCAGAAGGATGAAGAGTAATCTGATCATATTGATTACAAGAAAACCAATTGGACACTTGTCATGTATTGTACATTGTCTTTCTGGCACTTCAAAATGTGCTTAGAGTTGCAAATGATGGCTTTATTCTCTCCTTTTATATATATATAATATGTGTGTGTTTTAACTCTGCATCATTCTTCTGTTTCATATGAGCTTCAAGCAAAAAAAGCGTTATCGTTGTGATCGAGTTGCATTGTTTAGACTCGGAGTTCCATAAGGCACTGAGAGGCGGAGGAAACCTCATCGGCTTTTCCCATGACCAGTCAAGTCGTGTCGTCAATGCAGATTATCATGTCATGAAGCACAAACCCCGTGTGGTCCCGTGCCTTTCACAGATGTTTAGTCACAGTTGTAGATGACGGCCCAAACGTTTCGTAAACCTGCGTCAACGAACAGAGCAGAGGCAGAGATGGGAGGAGTTTAGAACGCCGCAGCAGAAGTCTGTGAAGAAGTGTTGCACCTTAACACCTGGAAGTCTTTGTTTGACCTTCTATGGCACGTGAAGGGTTTGCAGTGACAAAAGCAACGTCAATCGCCTGCGAATATTTTCGACAATTTTGACGTCAAAAGACGCGGTCGCCGTGCTTCCTCACGGCTGTCCCGCTGTAACTCAAACTCGTCTGACTGACGGCATCGGCAACAGAAGCAAAAGAAAAATGTCTTCGCCTGCCATCAAATTTGGACCATTTGATGTAAACGATGTGTTCTGTTTTACAGCTAACTTCTTGCCTAATCAGATAAAAAGAACACGGCGTGAAAAGAAATCATTGCAGATGTCTCGGGCACACATGATGGAAAAGTTTTTCTTCTCGGGAACAAAACAGCGTATCGGAGGAGTCCATTTCTCACAGCAATAAGATGATTGGGAAAATGTGCTCTTTTGGCATTTGGAACATTTGACATGTCACGCACTGCGTTTAATGAGAACGCCCATGCAATCAATGTAATCAAAAACAAAGCACACGCAAGTTTGTGTTTTTTAGTGGACTGTTACTTATAGACGTTTCCTGGTTCCCACTCGCTCATGGTGGCTTTTAGCTGGAAGTCTAAATAGCAGGTTTTACATTAGGAACTTCTTTAGAAAGTCCTCAGTATGCTTCATGTGATGTGGTTTCTGTGTCTACTAAGAGAAGGGTTTCAAAAAGCTGCGCTCAACATGATTAGCATTTATATTAGCATTTGGAAGAAAGACTGGGTGCAACGTGTCGGGAGGGGCTCACAATCAGAAATGTGGCTGCAGATTTACTCGGCCTTACAAGGCAGTTTAGTGGTTTTGAGTTCATTTTATTTGCGTTCATGTTGTGCAACTTCACAGCTTTAGTTTGTTCTGGTCTGCTCCAATGCTTCCAGGTATTTTCTATCAAATTGAACAAGTTAACAGCTGGCTGCTGAGCCTAAGTTTCAGCCATGCTTAGCAGACATCAATTTAACTTTAACTATAACGTCCTTAATTATTAGCAAAAGGAAAAGGATCCTAAAAACCTACTGATAATGAGATATACAGTTGATCAATAGATATTTACATTGACAGATCATAATTGGACTTGTTTACAAAACAGTTAAACGTCAACAAGCCACAGGTTTCAAACATTGTAATACACCAGGTCAAGGAATTAGCATCTGAAAATTTCAATTTTAAGATGTCTAACAAAGGTAGGGCAACATGTTATTTACAGACTGAGCTATTTAATTTAATTGTTTCCTTGGGTAAATGCTTCAAAATGCATAATTTTCAGACGGATGTTTACAGAATAATACTGTCTTTCTTTTATTACAAGCTGCAAGTCATTCAGAGGAGTGAGAAACATGAAACAAACTGCTGAGAAGTGATTTGGCTGAGCAGGGCCACGCCTAGACTGAATGATGAATCTTCGAACTTCAGTGTTGGAGCATGTCAAGGGACTTCTACAGACTCTACACATGTTAAAAAAGCCACCTTTTAATGATGACCATAAACTATGAAAGGCCTCTGAAAAGTAATTTAATTCAGGTGTGCTGGATCACGGATTCGTCTAAAAGCTTCCAGGGGTCACTCCTGGGGGGGGGTCACCTCTGACAGCGATGCAGGAGCCTGACAGCCGAGGGCCGTGGCAGAGGCATCCTCTGTCTGCATGTCTGATGTTTCGTGAAACGCCACCCTGTGACAGTCTTTCAACGAGACAGTACCAGTCCACACGGCATGCGTGGCTACAGACAGAATGGGTTATGCTGAGGGGCTTCTGTGGCCAGCCAAGCTCTGCAGTCTCGTGTAATCTGATAAAAGTGTGGAATCAGTTTAGATATCAACTCTACTGACCCGGGGGCAGAGGAAGAGGACTCACAGCAGCTGCATTCAGACCCAAAGGGCTGCCACACTTTACAGGCTCAGGTCTGTCAGTCTGTCCATACTGCTGACTGACTTACCTATTCGATGTGATACTATGATAATTCATCTTCCGTTTAACACGTGTGGTTTCGTTTATTGCTACCACTCCTCCATCCTGTTGCTCAACTGCTTTCCAGTTTGTGTAGCAGAGTTTTTGTTTTTTTTTGTCTGTGGAAATAATTGGGTTTTGTCCAACATGACAACCATGAACAATTTCACTGGCAGCATACACACAGCTGAATAATTCACTCTGACTGCTGTGGGGGGGGGGGAAAGAAAAAAAAAACAAACCCTAAATGATTCATCTCTCCTGACGCATGGGGGGGGGACGACTCTGTGGAAGGTAAGGAGAGCCAACTTACCTCTAGATCTTAACGCTCTCGGTTCCGTACACGTTGTAGCCTTCTCTGTATGTGGCAAAGTTCTGGGTGTTGGTCGGGGGAGCCGGCTTAAAATTCTGGGTATTCTTGGCCAATTTTAGCCGTTTGGTTTCTTGTCGTGATTTATAACAGAACTCTATCAGAGCCACCATCATAGCCAGCCCCAGCCCTCCAACCAGAATATAGAAGACTCCTGCCACATTGCTTAGGCTGAGAGCACTTGTCTTGTCCTGGGGGAAAGTGAATACCAAAGTTAAGCGTTTTGCAGTGGAACAACATCAGCAGAGCAGAATGTAATTCTGAAACTATGCCTTAAACTACTCAAAGCTATCAACTACAACGGTGTCAGCAGCTAAGCAACAAAATCCTATATAATCAGAAGCCAATATTATTGCTTTTTGGTGAAAATATACCCTAATAGAAGCAAAAAATAAATAAAAAAATTGATAAGGAACCTAATTATTGCTAGAAGGAGCCAGTGTGTTTTACTCTGCTGGTGAATGTAGAGCTTTTCCTGGTGTGAGCTACTTGTACGTAAAAATGGCTTCTGCACTTAACCATTAAAGGAAGCCGGTCAGTATCGCATAGGTCGATAGCTCTTAAAAAAAATAAAATAAAAAATCCCTGTCTTTTTAATTCTCTCAGAGACATGTACGTATAACTCTCACGGTAGCAATGTCATACAGTACAGTCAAGTTGATAGCATATAAATGATAGCTCAGTTAAAAGTAAAAAAACCAAAAAAAAAAACAATCTACTGTATGTGAAACCATTTTGCTGCTGCTTCCCAACCAAATGTATTTACGAAAAATTTGTTTATTAGAGTTTTACTATTTGCAGTTTAACCTTAAGAGCATGGAGCTATATAAAGACCTTATATTCCCATGTCATTTGGATCTCAGAGGGTTAAATATCAGGTTTATTACATTCTTCGACTTGTTGTAATGCTCAAGCAAAGCATGTTAAGTCTCCTCTGTGAGTCACCACAAAATTTGGAGGACGCCCTGCGGCGCTCCCGCTGCTCAGAGAGGTTGAATTTGTGTAACTCATCACAATGAGAGGGTTTTGCTTGTTCATCACACCACAGGAGGCCGCAGAATCTAACAGACGCGTCTCGATGCAAAGTAGTAAGAACACAAACAAATCAATTTTTCATTAACAGTTTGGTGAATAGAAACAGCAGCATAATGGTCGAAGCATCATGAATGTCAAGAATGGAAATGAGCAAAAAAGAAACAGCATTTATCAACATGTGTTAACTGCTGTCATTCTGAATCTAAAAAAAAAAGGCACTTGTTTAGTCTCCCCTTAATGTTATCATTACAGTTTTCATAAAACAGTGTCATGGGTTATACTGCTTAAAAAGTGTCTAATTAAAAATTTCATAAAAGGAAAAAAAAAAATCATTTGGGGATGCAGTGCCTAAAGCCACATAGAAACTGGGTTACAGTGTGTGGCAGAAATTGCAAAGTACTCTTAAAAAAAAAAGAAAGGTGTGTGTGTGTGTGTGGCAAATAAACAAAATGCATACTTCAAATGTAAAAGTTTTAGTCTTGCATATGAACAGTACGTCAAAATGCAATTTGGAATCAGTACAAAAGACCTGCAGCGACTGACCTTACTTCCAGAGTCCTTGGTTCCACATTCACCCTTATCGTACCACCATTTGTTTTTCAGCTTGTCTAAGATGCCTTGTTCACTGAGTTTCAATACTGCAAGGTTTACAGGAGTTCTTCACGTGGGAAATAACATAAATAACATTATATTATGTTATTTTATGTTATTCAACTTTTAAACTACTACATACTTTACAAAGCGATAAAGCAGGACACCTGGCTGTAGTCAACATCACAAAGAGCAGGCATTCTACCTATCACCTGTATAACCCCTAGTGTAAAGCCAGGACCTACCTAATCGCTTCGAGTAATCGGCAGATGCTGCTAACACGGCGACGAGCAGGTACTGACGGTACGATCTGCAAGTCTGTGACCATCAACCAGAGAAATTCACGGGCAGGGAGAACCAGAGGCTTATCAGCTGCAGGTCATTCTGCCAGGAGCTTTGTCTTCACTGAGCGGAAAAATCAGATTCAGACCTTACGTTCTTCAACAAAACGCTTTTTGTCTTGGCGTAATACCGACGAGAATAAATTCTGGAAGCAAATGAGGCCCCAAAAATGAAAGCGGAATTACGCGGTACGAGGTTTGCTGCTGTTTATCACGGAGGAAACCTTTGTGTTTTGACAGATTAGTAACAGACGATAGCCGCAGGACGAAAATCAAGAGTGGTGGCATATCTGTCTCATGTTTGCCTGCAGCTGCATAACCAAGTGTATTATTTGCCTCGTCTGGGATCTAAGTGATCAGATGTCAGAGAGAAGAAAGAAAGAAAAAATCTAATCTAGATAAAAGCACACATCTAGGAGCCACTTCATGATTTTTAGTCATTTGTAGTTCAGCTATATTTTTCATCAGATATAAAAGTTCAATTAGAAGCAAAAACAGAGAACATTGATAAATGAGTGACCTGACTTCTACCTCGAAACAATGTGTGTACCCCCCCCCTTCTCCCCCCATAATGCACTGAAAGAAGATTACACCACTGTATATCCTTCATAGCAAATCTGGAGAAACAGAGTGTGAAGACCAAACCATTGTCTTGACTTGGAAAGACATTGATTAACAATGCAATTACCCAGCAACATGCTCTGTGTCTGGAAGTCAATCTGGGCTGCGGTGTGTTGGGCCTGAGGGTGAGGGGGAACTCGGCGTGCGTGTGTGTGCATGTGTGTGTGTGCATGCTGCTGGGTGAAAACAAATCCGTGCATCTCTTCATGTCTGCTAACGGGACTTCATAGCCGTCCCAGACCAGGTGATTGGATGCTCCAAACACATCCAGCTCCAGGCTAGTTTAGTCTACCTTTCCAATCTTCCCTGAGGAGAAACCATGAAACAGACAGGTCGTACATTTCTCGGACTTCTATAGCGCTTCAGAGAAGAGTGATGGAAACTGCTGTATGTGGCCAGAGGGGCTTCTTGAAACAAGCGACTTAAAAAGTTAGCAGCTGCTTGGCAAAAAGAAAACAAAAAGTGTAAAAGATGAAGATTACATTGAGGAGTTTTCTTGTGGAGGGTGAGTCAAGAGATTTACTTATATCAGTATAACTACGACAAAATAATGTTGGTCTTTTATTGAAGCATTCTGGTTTTGCAAGCTGGAATGATACAAAAAAAACAAAAAACAAAACACAACTTAAATTTAAAGATCGAATTTAAATTGGATTTTGTCAGAACCCAACAATCCTTCACTCATTCCATCAGAAGCTGCTTGTGGTTTCACACTTTGGACTGCTGGTCGGCGCACTGGAAAACGTTCTTCACTACTGGAAAAAGGTTGGAGAGGCCTGGTGGTCTGAGGGGTCACAGTTGGAAGGGATTCAAACCACAGGTAGCTTTTATTAAAAAAAAACAAAAAAAAAACAAAAGAAAAACAAAAGTGTTGTCTTTAATTAGAGTTCTCACGTTTGCCTGTAATGCTTAGTCCCCTCAAGACACCGCTGTTCCCCTTGCTTTATGGTCTGCCTCTGTCTGGCAGCCATTTTCCATTTGAGAAGAACTGGTTCCTCTTAACCTGAGCTGTTAATGTGAAGCAGCTGTGTACCAAAGTACAGCAAAGCCGCTTTTACCAAATCTCCAAAACCGCACTTATGTTGACTTTTGTAAAGCAGTATTGTTGACAGGCTCTTTTTTTTTCTATAAGTAAATGTGACTTTATCAGCTATTATAACTTAATGCGCACTGTGAAATCAGATGGTGATCAAACTAAGATGAACTTATGCCAAAAACTCAGTTATCTTTTTCCCAATTAGTGAAAACACCAAACATTTGTGTGTGTATGGTGTGTCTGATGACAACAACACTCTTTGGTGTGGTATATTGTTACTGACTGAAGCCTGAAAGCAACTATTGTCTATAGTTGTAGGTTGTGTGAAAGCACAGGGAAATTGAACAAGCTATAGTACATTTGGTCAGTTTTATCCTTTTTAGCGTTCAAGAACTGTATAATGGAACATTTTGGATTTCAAAGAGTTTAGTATTTTAAACATTTCAGATTAATACATTTTAATTTTAATACAAAAAGTGCAATTTTTTTGCATCATTAACTACATTAACTGTGTAAATTGCGACTAGAGAATGCTAAAGTCAGTTTAAAATGTAAATATTTTGTCTTCGAAAACAGTAAATTATTAATCGCAATGCTATTCTTATGTATTTTTTTTTACAACGCAGTTCTTAAAGAGAAACCAGAATCAGGTAAAAGTGTTAATGACATGCCAAAGCTTTACAAAAAACCACAGAATATAAATTGGCCAGAACATTCTGATCAATGCATCTCTATTACTCCCTCATATTGATTGACTTGCCCTTTACATCAGGGTGAGTGAACACATTTAATCCTTTGACAACTATAGAGCAGCCGCATTCACCTCCAGAAGCCTCAGAGGCCGTGTTACTTCTCAGCATTTTAACTCTACAAGTGATGTTTTTCCAGCTAGTTAAGGCAAAAGCTCCTTAGCTGCCAAATAAGCCATTACACCATCTGGTCAACCTAACACTTTTATCATCTGCCTCAGTGCAGCAGGTTGGCTTGGTATGGTCCGGATCGGGCTGGATTTCGGTTGCGTTCTTTGCCAACAGCTTTGCCGATTACTCTGAACTATGGTACCCGATTGTGGTGACATCGAGGCTGACCTTGGAGTCACCTCCCCCGCTGCCGCACTCTCCCTTGTCGTACCACCATTTGTTTTTCAATTTGTCCAAGAGGCCTTGCTCATTCAGTTTTAAAACTGCCAGGTTAACAGCATTTCTTGAAACGATAAAACATAACTTGTAAGAAAATGCACAGGTCCGTGAGAAATCTAATGCAAAGTGAGAATGATGATAAGGCATATTAGGAAGCAATGGTAGAGAAACTACCAGTGTCAAAGAAGGGGCTTTACGCACAGACTACTGTTAATCAGAATGGTCGAGGAAAAGGACAAATTGTTTAAGAATTTAAAGAATACGGAGAGATAAAAAAAGGCTCACATAAGGCAGAGACAGTGTTAAATCTTGGAAAAAGGTGGCATGAAGGGTCACGTAGTTTAAGAACTGAAGTGTGCGGGATGGGGACACTTGTCATTGAGAAGAAAAAGTAACAACAACAAACATCATGCAATTAACATTCGTCACAAGTGACAGCGCAGCTTTTAAAGGCTAAATTGAAAAACCATTGAACTGTTAAATTAAAAGTGACAACACAACAGTCAGGTAGGACAGCACACGGGACAGAAGGAGAGATCGAAGGAGAGAGAAAAAACAGCAGTAAGAAAGACATAAATATGAAATGATTGTTAGCGTGTACCTTTTCATCTGGATTAGATTGTATTTTTTTTTTCTAACATAAAACAGCAATTCTATGCAGGAAAAAAAAACAAAAAAAAACATCAAATAACCTTTGAATCCAAGTACAGTTAAAAAGGCATGACTACCGTTACCTCTGCTTCCACACAAAACAAGAAGAGAAGAGAATGACAACAGGGGGACATCAGGGTAGGTGGAATACTATAACAACATGGGGGGATATTGTTATAATATTCCACCCACCTTAATGCCGAGCCTTTGGGCGTCGCCACGCCGTAGCCTTTGGAGTCGAGGTTCCCTCCCACCTTCATGGTGTCGCATGGCTTCCGCTGCTCGATGTACTCGTTCATCGTGGACTCAAGGAGAAAGGCAAACTTGCCCTTTGACTTTCGCACTCGGGCGACGCCGTCTGGCGTGGTCTTAACAAACACATTGGGCTCTGCGGATTTCATGTAAGACCACATCTTCTCGTACACCGCTATTTTGGATCGCTGTGCGGAGGAGAAAAGGGAGAAAAGACTTCAGAAGTTTCAACGACTCGCGTCCGCACGGGATGGATTTTGCAGGATTCTCGTGCTTAGTGATCACTTGATCTAAAAAGGCGCTGCGAAGTAGTCATAGACATCTGGGAAAGCGCGTGCGATATCTTTGAATACTTCCAGAAAATGCGACCACGACAAACAGTTACGTGATCACGAGGAACAAAAATGTGCAAAATCCATCTTCTCTTTGCAGATCTAACGCAGCGAAAATATTTGACATCCCAAAGTCCCTGCATGTACATATGAGCATCACACATCAACATTATTCCACTGAGAAGTTCTGCAAAAAAAAAAAAAAAAAATTGTACTTATTACCTGGCTCTAAAAATACTTCGATAAATAATTCAACAGGCAGTAAACAGCAGGTAATGATCTTTTTATTTAAAAACATGCACAAGTTCAGCATAATATCCTTGACAGATGTTCAGCCTCAGCGAGTGAAATAAGGTTTTGTTTGTAGTTCGTCTCCAACTTGTGGAGCTTATTACACTCGTACTGTGCTAATGAAATATCTTGCGTGTGACTCAGAGGCGTCGCGCAGAGGAAGCCGGGGAAGTGAACAACAAAGCGCCCGTGACAAAGTGACAGAGACGAGTGCTTCTCCAGCGCCGCAGGTCCGGCTTAGTGAGACTGTGAAATCGGGGAGAGTTGGACGCTATCTATAATAAGCATCAATTAAAATATTCAGCTGCTGCTGGACTTGACTTTGGCACAGCCGTGTCACACATCTTGTTGTTGTGATCGCTGTCCTTGCAGAGATGAGCTGAGGTTCAAAAACTGCCCCATGAAGACTTAAAGACGCATTCGCGTTGTTTGAATGCAGTAAAAATAAAATGAAAACAATCTAAGGAAGCCGAGTTAACTAGAAATTTGCTTTTGTCACATAGAGCTGTAGAATTATTTATTTTTAATATAATTATTGACAAATAAAATTGTTGAATGAAACAAAAAAACAATGATTTTGCTTTTTTTTACTACTAATTTAGTTGTACAACTACATGAATCTTCTCCAGATTAACTCCATTGATCAGAACCTACTGGACTTATTTACCTTCAGTCGGTTGATTTCACTGGTTTTAATTTTTTTTTTCTAAATAACAACCATTTTCTCTCATTTGACAAGATTTCTTGCTGTTGTTGAATTGTTTCTAACATACAATCAATATTGTGCCATTGTGCCATTTTTTTAAAAATTATTATTTCCACTACTAAGGTTTTATGATTTGCAAGGTTTAATTTTTTTTTTCTTTTCATCTTATTCATCTTTTTAATAAAATTGTTACTAGTTGGCTAGTTGATGCTACGTGAGCAAAACATGTCATTTTCAAAAAGCAAACAACATTAGGAATCAACCACAATGGTTTTTATAACTCAAGATGTCTGTAACACTCGGTCCAAAAAGTCCTGACACAACGACTGTCTTCATCCCAGGTTGCTATGGCGTTGGCTGTCAATAGCATGCACCATGGCTTGCTGTTTGTGGGAGTCAGTAGAGCTTGAAACCCATGCATCTTGAACTCTTGCTCCGACTGGTATTTATTATATTCTTCTTCATCTGCGTTGGATTCCTCAGGGGCAAATCCTAACAGGCGAGATGAAAAGGCTCCTGAAGCTACACTGGAATCTGTCAAAAGCTGCTTTTGTGCCAGAGTGTTTACTAATGCCAGCTGATAACTGCAAACCTCACAGCTGTCAATTGTAGACGTCGGATGCCAATTCTCACTGCCTCACGTGATGTCACTGATCTGAATCAAACAAAGTGGATTTTTTTTTTTATTTTTAGGGTGGCCATCTTAAGATGATTATGGTTTTATGATTTATTTTTGTGTAATTTACTTAAAATGAACTTTTCTCCCCAGTAACTTTTGTGTTTTCTTTTCTTTTTATCGGTAAGCGTGTCCAGTTTCATTAACTGTGATAAAAAGGCCACATTGTTTTGTTTCAACAAGTTGTTTTTATAGTGTTGGGACACTAAGTAGAGCTTTACAGTCTAGAGCGACATCTTTGTTCGCTATCATGCAAAAGTGTTACTCATGTTTCTGTGCATCTGAGGGAATAATTTACCATTTTTACTCCAAACAGCCACAAGCCATGTTTTTAAGAGTTAGTTAATTCATTAAAATTATTTAAATTATATTTTGAAAACCCCCTAAACAATGAAATATTGATCATATGATCTTATTAAGTAATGATTAAAGTTATAATCATTAACCATGAACCAAGAAATTGGTTTATGGGCCGATGCTTTGGTTTATCTGATTATCAGCCTTCTGACTGGATTTTACGATTAGCTACAGGGGAAAAATAAAATCAAGAATAGGCTGCTTGCAGGGTCTTGTATGTGTTGTGCATTACGCTGAAAAATAAAATTTACAACATGCTTCATTTCATTTGTTTGCATCTGCTTCTCCTAGGAATGTTAGAAAATAGGCGAAAATCATTGCTTTTTTTTTTTAACAGAATAATAACAGTAGATCATCAACTGCATTGCTCTTCCTGTCCAAACATGCTGATTATTATAGAGGGATCTCTGCCTTGAATTAGTAGGAGTCTGCCTAACGGTAAAGTATCCATCGCTAATGCATTCCCATTATTAAACAAAAGCATTAACCTTGACCAAATGAAAGTGCTTTTCTGGCTTTATGTAATCATATAGTTTGTTTGCAGGCGTCTGTCACTGCACATCAGGCCATGGGTGAGGCTAAGACGAGGCAGCGACGTTACGCAAATATAAAAATCTGTTTGATGAATGTTTCCCCCCCTCCCATTGAAATGAACAAAACCCGGTGGTTGGGTTATATCAGTCCTGCTTTAATGCAAACACAACAAACAAGAGGAGCGGCACTCAGTGAAAATAGCAGCTATTTTTTTATTTTTTTTAATTTATTTTTCAGTTCAACAGTTATAATTTAGTGTGCGACAGCATGAAAATAAGACTCGTTCGGAGGGCATTTCCCAGAAGACACGATGAGGCTCATCCTCTCAGCGGTGGGAAAGCTCCTCGTTGCATCGGGGGGAAAGAATAGATCTCAACATTGATCAATGACGACAGAATGTGCTGCTGCGGTGCCTTATGAAGTCAATTTATCAATATCAGAGAGGTTTTGCAAAGTGCGACTGAAGCCCAAATAAGCCGATTCACTGGAACTGAAAAAAAAATCCCAGCTGAGATGCTTCCAGCAGAGAAAACGGGAGGAGAAAACGAGATTCGGGGGAGAGCTCAGCAGGGAAAGAGAACTATTTGATTGTTGACTGCTGGCACATTAATGTGCACGCAGACGGGCTCGCAAACACGCTCGCATTTAGGGCTGACTAATACGAACAAACATCGCTCATCTCTTTTTAAACGTTATCATTCATGTTCTTTGGTGGGCATGAGAAATTCAATTAGAGAGCAATTACTAAAGTCCATAAGCAATTAAGAGACGATTTAAGGAGCTATTAAATGCTGTTGGAAACATGGTTTTATATGTGCGCACATTCTATACATCATATAATGATCCTGTTAACGTATGGCTGAGTCATAAATCTTTACGCCGTTTAAAATGTATTTTCATATTTAAATAAAGACACGATTCAAAGCTGCGTCATTTGCATGCGTCTTATTCTCCTCTTCTCAGTGTTTCTGAGAGTCATTCTGAAGCAATCGCCTCGCTGCTGGCTTCGTGGCAGAGTACCTAAATAGCCAGTCCTCCTACCTCAGCGACACGGTTACGTCATCCGTGTAGGTGTTCAACCAGCAAATCAACCAGAAACAATGAGCTTCCTGCCGCCTTGTAATGTAATGTTTTCAAAGCCTCTGACCCAAGACGAGAAAACAGACATCACTTGCCTCGGGAAAAGGCCGACTGATGGTGAGAGCAGTAATCCTTATTAGCTTTGTTTTACAAATATCTGATACTGTATGAACTCTCTTTAGATTGGGTAAGTGCTAAACATGAGATGTAATATGTGGACCACGATCCTGAATACAAGTAGAGTCTAGATAGAGGCTTGTTAAAGGGATAGTTTGGGAATTTTTTTTTTAAAGTAAGGTTATGATAACATTAGAAATAGAAAGGGATCAATATCTCCGAGGACCCAGAAAATCTACTCTGGAGATTTTAATGAGCTTTTTGACAAAAACTTCATCTATGTGATTAGATATTTGTCAAAAATATTATAATACCCATGCCCAGTTGGCAGGCGGGAATAACTTCAACCTGATAAAGGGTCTTAAAAATGGCTGAAGCAGTGCCTTTGCCCAAAGGTTACTTGATCATTTGAGCAGTTTTTTTTTTCTCTGACATTAGACCATTTAATCTCTATTTAATTGACAGAATAGAATATTAACATCATTTATTGTCCCTTTCATTAATGTTGTCAAATTATATTTGAAGTGTGATAGAAACAGATCAGGACAAGTTGAGAACCAATTACGTTTTGATTTTTTTTTTTTTTTTAAAATATCAGTTTTAGTGACCAAAAAAATATTAGTTTCAACAAGTTCTAAAGCTGAGTCCTCTGTAGGTCATGCTTAATGTTTTCACCTCAAACAGCTTGCCTTAATATTGTTTTGTGATATACGTGTAACATAAATACAAAGATTGATATTTTAACATTCCTTTTGTGACAGCTGAGCTTATTCTGGTTTGCATGTTTCAATGCCAACGCTGTCAGATTTGTTGAAAATTAAAGTGATTTAATTAATTTTGGCTGGTGTTTGTGTTGATTATTAAACCAAAGATAATATAGCACGTAGATTTTAGCGGTCGAATAGGATTTGTTAGAGAAAGGGAAACGCAATAAGCTATAGTCGACAACAGGAAAAAGGAGAAAGTTGCAGTCGAATGTAAACTACGACATTTAGTCTGGATAATACAGACTCTGGAGACATAAAAAAAAAGCGTAGCAGAAGTGTGCAACATTTGGAGGAGAGAAAAAAGAAAAATGTAGAGGAAGGAAGGAAA